AGTCCTCCCTTTACCGTGTTTAGGTTTAAACTTCCTGTCTAATTTAGTTTTGTCATCATTCCTAACACTATTTCCCTGTAATCTTTCACTTTGTTTACCTGCTCTCCTCCACCCCCTAGCAGTTTAAAGACTTCGATATCTTTTGAACTGCCCCCTCTAGAGACCCAGCCTGAGTTGCCACCCCATCCCGAGACAGGTGTACCCCATGCCTAGCATAAAGGTCCCTTCTGCCGTAGAAGTTGTCCCAGTTGTCAATGAATGGGACTGATATTGACTTGCAATATCCGTCAAGACGGCCGTTGACACCAACTGCCCTTGACAACCATTCATTGCTAACTCTCCTTCTAGACAGGACACCACATATGATAGGGATCCATTCCCTTAGTCCTAATACGATCTATAGCTGTCTTTAACTTATCAAGAAGCTCTTCACTCCTACACCGGCCAATATCATTGCCTCCTGCACTGAGGCTGATAATGGGTTTGTTCCCATTACCAGACAAGATATTGTCCATCCTGTCAACTATATCCCCCACCCTAGCCCCTGGCAAACACACCCTCATCCTATTTTAATTTTTCCACAAAAGGCTCTGTCCAAGTACCTTACCTGTGAGTCACCAACAATTAAAGTTTTTATACCTTCCTTGTCAGCCCTGTCCCTGACTCTACTAACGTCCAATTCGTCTATTAAGGGACTGAACGAATTGGTACACTTAGCTGTTGTTGTCGTATCCTTGGTGTGTTTCTTCACCACCAGTTTGGTCGTCCCTTTCCTCACAACCTTCCATTCACGAGAGTTATCGTCATTCACCGGCTTTCCTTGTCTCTTTTCTTCCTTCATCCTTGCTATCTCTTCCTCTAATTTAAAGTTTTCTAACTCTAATTTCAGTTTTTTTTCCCTTGGTACTCTCTAACTCGGCCCACAGAAGGGCGTAACCCCGTTCACCAGTAGCACTAGCCATATTTGATAATTATCCCCGGGAGCAGAGCTAAGCAGCAGTAACCTTTCCTCTAGTGAGGTCAGAACGGTTTGGGATGCTTTTAAAACAATAAGCAAGTTCCAAAGTATGGCAGTGTAATTCTTAGGCAGCACAGTACACAGTATACAGTAGAGATGACACTAAATAAATGAGATCCAGCAAGAGCGGATAAACTCGGATAGCAGATTCAAACACTGAGAAGGGAGAGGATGGCTGGGGAAGGACGGTAGGGATGTAGGGGAGGGGTGTGCAGCCTGGCTGAGTGGCCCACAAACACATCTCTGCTCATCTATGTCACGAGATGACGAGAGACGCCACAGACCACATCGCTGCTTGTTCCTCCTACTCTACTGGGTAAACAGAGCAAAGAGCATTTTAGGCCCGTGGGCGCTGGTTGACTGGAAGGTGGGAAGCAAACAGTTGTCAATTGTTGTTTGTGGGAATATTTCATTCACTCTAGTAATGATACAGTTCAATGTTTCTTTTTATATTATCATAGGTAAATGCATGGTTTATATAATTTCTTTATCACTTTATCACCGTTTTCAAATTAGACTACAAGCTATGTAGTTCTCCCATACGTATTTCGATCATACGCCTTGCAATGGGTGTGGGTAAGAGGAGTGACTCATGTGACCATGGAGGTATAAAGGGTGGAGACGGCATGCGCGTCCAGGAGAGCTGCTGCTGCCTCCAACTTAAAACCCAAAATAACGCAAGCGGTGTTTAGCCACGTCACCTTTCTTTCCTTCTAAAATTCACTTCAATCCTCCCTTTATCCTTCCCCTGAACCTCCTTCCCCCCTGTCACTAGCATTTAAGTCAAGCCAAGTCATGGGCGCGTCCCAGCACTGTCCCAGCACTGTCAGCCTTGTCAGGTGAAGCTAATCGTCCCCTGCGTCGCCATCTTTGTGTAGGTTGGTCACGAGCCAGGAGGCTGAGTGACTCTCATTGACACTGGTTTGCACTGTTTACACTCATCCATAGCATCCCTGTATGATTAACTGAAACTATTATTTCATTTTAAACCATTTATTATATACTATAGTACAATAAAACTACATTTCAATGAACAACACTAATCATTTGCATCAATTATCCTTATCATGGCACGAACCTGGTACCCTGAGCACAGGGGGTTTTCTGTGCATTTTTACCTTGCAGACTGATCCGCTGAACAACATTAACTTAATCATGCTAGTTCTACTTTTGACAACTTTGAGAGATACTGTTCGTGCTGTGAACTGTTTGCCTGCATATGTGTATCTCCCCTGTAGATGGGTCTCAGCTACTTTGATTAACAATACAAGATGATTGTTGAGAGGATCACTTTCTGACATGTGTATTGCTAGGCCTGGGAATATAGTTTTGTTCAGGAATTCTGACTATACAAAAAATTAAATTTTGTGGCAATCATATGTTGACAGTTTTGCGTAGGGTGTATTTTACTGAAAAGCAATATCTTTTCTTTGAATATCTTTTTTGCATAAGCAACATATAGCAATGACATCTTTAGTTGGAAATGAATGATTCCCTTTGGTTTTCGTTGTGATTAATGCATGAGCTTCACTACAACATGCTTCACACTTCAGAGATTTCTTAAGTTTCACAGAAACAAACCAGCAAAATATGCAACTATTTTCTCATCACAAGGAGAGACCACACTAGATGAAACTAAGTTAACATTTCATCCATCACCAAAGAAAAAATATTACCAGAAGTTTTGTCTGTGGATTTCTTGACCTTCTGCTTGAGTGCACTGAATGATGCCTCGGTAAATCCGGGTTTCACTTCTACTGTATTGTACCATTTTTCCAGCGTTCGTGGATGCGGCAGACAAGTATCAATAGTTGTTCTTATGAATATTTATGCGTGTGGAGAGTAAAAGTTCAAAGTGAGAGCAAAACTTCTCAAAGCAGGGGCATATAGAGCAAGTACTGGCTTATCGCTCTTCTAAGCAATCTGTCTTTTCACAAGGTCAGTCACTCTACCAGCACAGGATTCTAAAATAGTCAGCCTGTCTTCACTCACTGTTTTTTTCTTTTAATACACTAATCACAGAACACAAGTCGTCATTTTTCTTTTTTCAGTCGTCGTGTTTTCTGTTGCCAAAGTTGTATTTTTTCTTAGACTTCACAATTTTTCCTCTAATTTCCTTTTCATCACTTTCGATGGAGAATTTTTTAAATTAGCTTCTAGGTGATTTTCTGCTACAGTAAGAGTGGAAGCTGCAGCTTCAGGTGGAGAAGGCTCACAAACAGTCCGAGTTTTGGGGCGCTTCCTATTATTTGTCTTTTTCTGTAGGTGAGCAGGGAAAACCTCATATATACTAGGAACAGCAAATTTTCGTAATCTGAAGCAAGACAGAGAAGTCCTGTCAAAATCTTCAGGGGCAAAATGCTTAGAGCAGAGATGCGCTTGTTTGCCTGGTGTGTTGTTGTCTCTTCGTGGAGCCAAAACCCATTTTTCCCTTCTGCTGAATTAGTAATGAGCATGTTGAAAGTATGTGGGCCGTAAGGAAAGCAAGCTTGACCTGACCTGAAGGCAGCAGCCTACAGTTAGGTCGCTGGCTTCAATCTGTCAGGCTGATGCCGCCTCCACCCTTTATACCTCCACGAATGTGACTGTTAGTTAGCGCATCGTCAGCACTTAACTCTCCTCCCTCCCTGCTGTTACTGTTATTACTAGTGTTTACTGATAAAATAATGCTTAATAGTGGTTTATCATGGCATTGTAGCCAAGTTAGACTCTTCACAGCAACTACCAGGCTACTGGGCCAAGTTATGAGGTTGTATGGTTGTTTTTCAACTCGTATTTTTAGGTAGATATACGTAACTTTCTTCATTTATTTTTACTCGTTTACATGCACACACCATCCTAAATACATATTGTGGAAAATGTAAAAGAAATAATTGTCCTAAGGGCACACCTGTACTCTAATGTACTGAGTTAATTGCTACATTTTTTAAGTCTAGTGCAAACTATGGGATATTTATATTCAAATTAATCACTATCTTACAAGAATTCCAGCAATGTAAGTTATATTCTTCCAAGTCAATTCAGTGACATTTTTTAAGCGAAAAACTTAAACTCCCTCTATTTGACTGATAGTTTCAGGCTTAAAGTTTTTATTTTAATAAAATGTCAAAACTAAGCAGAATTTAACTTGCATTCCTGGAATCCTTGCAAGATATCAAATAATTTGAGCATAAAGTTAGGAATACTGTACAGATGCCGTAGATACTTCACTCCTGAGCAGTTGATTCAAGTTTATAAGGGATTTATTCGTCCTAACATGGAGTACTGCTCTCATATCTGGGGTGGCTCTTCTTCTGTCCAACTGTTAGATAGGGTGGAATCAAAGGCATTTTGTCTTATTAACTCTCCTCCTTTAGTTGACAAACTTTCTTCCCATTCTCTTCGCTGCAATGTTGCTTCACTCTCTCTCTTTTACAGGTACTTTAACGGGCAATGTTCGGTGGATTTAGCATCCTACGTACCGCCGGCAAGGCCGTGGGCTCGTAACACACGTCTTGCTCGCGGTGCCCACCATTTCTCTGTGGATGTCGGTCACACAAGAATAATCTCGTATAAAGAATGCTCATATAACGAGATACCCCTGTACAGTATATATATATATTTTTTTCAATGAACCATTTCTCTTTTTATGTCGACAAGACAAAGTAAACATCACAACTTTTTTTACTACCTCACTGAAAATACATCTCCAGTACTGTACACTTGTCTCCAAAAGGTACCATTGTGGAACGTTGTCAAAATCCCTCGTCCGTTGTATTATATGGTGGCACACAGAATCGTAAAGATACTTTTTAGAGCAAGTACAGTCGACTACCAAAATCCATTTATCCCTACCTTTGAACCACGAACCCTGAATCTCGGGTTTCATGGGAAGAGGCGAATGGACTTTACTAAGTTAACTGTACCTCATTTTCTAATCCACTATGATGGAAAGTTTAAAATATTTAGTGTCTACTTCTTTTAACTTATTATCTCTCCACAGGGAAGTCTAGCTCTCTGAGTGCTGGAGGCATCATTGGCATCATCATAGCCACACTGTTGGTGACCTCTGTTATTGGATACGTTGGTTATAGTCATGTTCAGAAGAAACCCGAGCCTATGAGAAATGGTGGCACTTATAGCTTTGACAATGCTCTCTATTCCGCAAGTAAGTGTATACAATATATTGACTTTTAATAGTATTTTTACTTTGATTATACTACTGTATTACTCTTACTTGTATTTTCTTAGCCTGAGTTTGATCAGTTAGGTCTGCGGTATCGTTTTTTTAATTGATTTCAGTACTCATTTTTATGTTATTTACACTGGCTTTGCTTGTATTGATGAAGTAACTTTGGTCCCACAGAAGATGACAATAGCAAGGTAGAGGTGAAGAGAGCACAGGATACAAGCCTTGACTTCGAAGCTGACTGTGGTGATACAGATGCTTAAATGCCACACAGTACAACACAACCGTAATGTTTGGAAAATGACCTGTGTAAACACGATCAAGAAAGTATCTCTGCACATTGGGTCCGATGATTCCCTAAATGATCAATACAGTATAACCTCCATATAACGGACTTCTCTTTCCGTATAAGCCGTGAGATGAGGGTTTCACTTCTAACAGACTTTTGATATAACGGACTTTCATCTCTAAACAGTATAATTCATTAGATGGAGGTTTCACATCTAATGGACCCTCGATATAACAGACTTTCCTCTCTACATAGTCCGTTAAATAGAGGTTTCACTGTACACGTATGCCACACTGTAACCACCAACATGAGCCACGCTACATAATGTAACCACCAACATGAGCCACGCTACACACTGTAACCACCAACATGAGCCACGCTACACACTGTAACCACCAACATGAGCCATGCTACACAATATTGGCAAGATTAATCTATTTTCTTCTCAATGTGCATAAAATATCAATACTTACTACGGATAAAACAGGAAATATTGCTAACAAGTGATACTGCATATGGTATTTTGTAATATCCATCGTCTGTGGTGTAAGATTGTTTCACACAAATGTAGACATACTTTTTTTTATCATGTGTGCATGATAAAAAAGGCGGCACGAACATTTCAACAGTTGAAGCAAATATATTGTTTAAAAAAAATAGTTCAATACTTAAAACAGTGAACCAGTGACAGATTTAGTGGGAGTTTCATGTATTTCTCAGCAGAAATTACTAAAAAATTACAGCTGGGTCACCTTTTGGTAGTGATCATGTTCTTGAATGTAAACCATGTATCATCAAAGAACAAACTAGGGGTAATGGAGGAAATAGGGTTGTGAACTTAACCATTAAAATTCGCCTCCCTATTTTGCCAAATTGTGTATTTAATTGACGTGTTCGTGCAGTGTTTTTCTCCAGTTTACTTTCTTGTGAAAGTTTATGCAGAACATTAAATAAAGGTTATTTTACTGAAAAAAGTTTTTTTAAGATCACGAATAAGCTTGATCCAATTATGAGATGATGGTGACAAGTTGATAGTGATGTTAATGGTGACAAGTTGATAGTGATGTTAATGGTGACAAGTTGATAGTGATGATGGTGATGGGATGGTTGAGAAAATCACGTGGGAGACTGTAGATTAAAACTTGTGAAGAAGCTTGTGAGTTTAGTTTGTGTCACCTTGTTTTATTGAAGTCCTTTGTAAATATTGCATTATGGAGTCATAGTAATCTGAATTTCTTGATGCCTGATTAACTTTAAAGAAATTATGAGTAATAATGTCATCAGCCAAATTAATGACCTTCAAATTAGCAGTAAGTTGAGGTCTTGTAGCAACTCCATCCTCACTCCTTACTCCTCACTATTTGCTGCTCCACGTATACTACTTTCCATAAACATGTAACCAGACAAGCTATTTGGTGACTCAATATTTCCGTTATTAAAAATAAGAAAGAAAGCCCCATCCCCTGTACAGTTATTATTGAGGGAACTAAAACATTTACCACAAACAATGAACATCAATAAGACACTTTGTCAAAATGAATTGTTCAAAATAAACCCTAAATATTGTTCATAGGCTGTCAAAAAATGTTTTAGGATACCGGTATTTGCAACTAACACGTGGCCGTTTGTCTTAGCTTCTCAGAGAATAATAATGATAATAATAATAATAACAATAATTTATATTTATTAAGTAAAATTTTCATACATTTTTACAATTGGATCGGCATGTATATAAAGTATACAGGTATTCAGTTTAGCATTAATATAGACAATGCAGGTGAGTACACGGTGCACGTAGACCAAGGAAGTATACAATTTCCTATGTGCCGAGACAGTGCAGGTAAACAACAATGGTAAACAATAAGGCAACTTGACCAAGGATAGCCGACAAAGCTATCAGCTGTTTATTTCCAGGAGGGTCCTTTGTTTAGGCTTACACGTGATCTCTAATCAGTAATAGTATGCCTACAAAAGTTTTTCTTTTATAAAGTTCAATAAGTATTACATTGCACTTGGACTATCCAAGATGAACGCCGGAACCTCCTTATAATCAGTGACAGCACTTCTGCGCTAGCGAGGCTCAAATTACCCTCCCCCTCCTCCCCTACCGCCCAACACACCCTAGCCGCCGTTGCCGGGCTAGAACAAACTGATGACATCCGTGTCAAGTTTCTTTGGATCCCGTCACATATAGGAATAACTGCCTGTGACACTGTTGATCGGCTTGCCAAAGAAGCTACACAAGAAGAAGATACTGAAGCCACTCTCGCCCTCTCCCTGAATCATCTCAAATCTCGCATACACGCCACACAACGAGAGGCATTCAACGAAAATTGGACACACCTGAAACAACGGGGTAGCGTCACACTATGCCACTATGACGCTGTAACCGGTGACGACAACCGCCACTACAAAGAATATCAATCCCTGACTCGATCTCAACAGCTTATATACATGAGACTGCGCCTAGGGTACAGGTACCTATGGGAGTACATTGGCAACCCTGAGCCTCACCGCACTGTTTGTAAACTTTGTGGCCAACCCGACTCTCACACCCTCTCTCACTACATCCTCACTTGCCCTATGACCTCCTCCTATAGGTCCCCAGCCGTTACCAACACCTCTTCCCTCCCAGACCAGATATCCCTCCTCCTAGTCACAGGCCTGGCATTTGACATTATTAGGGACCTGCCACTCTTTGCCATAAACAGATAAAATGTACCGGGAACTTTCCCCCCACACACTCATCATTCTCTCACTTTATGTAACTTGACAAAACCTATGACCCTTCAGGCTTTTACGCCCTTAATGTACGAGTCATAAAGGCAAGTATGAACTTTTCATACTTCCCTGTTGGGCGCTGTAAACGCTTCTGCGCTTCACCTTGCACAGGATGTAAGGGGGTGCCCAATAAACTAGCCCCCTCGGGGGCAAATCTGAATCTATCCAAGATGATTTGTCCATCAATTTTTGTGTGTTCCCTTAATCATAAAATTCTTTTACTTTCAGTTGAAATTTATTTTCCACCATCCCTGTTCTCTCTGATGTATGAATACATTCCATAATTGCATACGGTTCCAATGGCCATAATGTCATTAGCTGTTGACGGCCAGTAAAACGGGTATACGATATCTCATACAAAGACCCAACACCCAACTTTTACACGCCTATATCTACACTCTTACACAAACTGCTTATGTGGGTGCCTACATGAGGTGTACAATTTCATATAATCATTACAATATACATATATACATACTTCTTGAAAGTACAGGCATAAATCTGGAAATGAGTTTCCCGCCAAAATTTTGTGCCGCTCCTCGCACTTTCATGTAACGGCAGGGCCCCACACGGGTGTTTTATTAGTTCATCGAGTAGCCTTTACAGTTCACGATGGTCATCTTACTCAGATAATAACGAGTTTACAGTGACACCTCACACACACTCAGCTCACAGCTGCAAATTCAACCGTTATTAGTTTTGAAGTTAATGGTAGCAATGTTAGATAAGTTTATTCACGTTTTCTTGTGGACTATCTGCCAATAATAGTAAAGTGTGACTGTAAATGCTCTTATAAGAGTTTATAAGGTAAATATCTCTCATACAAATTTTATGAACAGGTAATTTAATAACAATGCCATTGTCACTCATTGCAAAACATAGTGAAGTGCACATGAAGGAAACCTATTGAAGGTATTGTAAGAGGTTAAACTTGTTGATATAGATTCTATTGCATAAAGTTGGGTCCTTTTGGTATGGTTTGGTACCATGGGGGCATTAGTAGTCAGTAGGTTGTATTGGCTAGCGAGACAAACCGGAAGACTGTTGCAGAGCCAGTCGGCTGGATCCTGGCAGTCCAATACATAGACAGAAGGGTAGCTATATAGATAGATAAACATAGATACAGTACATCTATAATTAGATACTAGTGAAACCTCCATATTATGGACTTAACTCTGCATATAATCTGTTAGATGGGGGTTTCACATCTAACAGACCCTCCATTTAAAAGAGCTTCTTTTTCATATAGTCCATTAAATAGAGGTCTCACTACATGGGAAAAGTGACGTAAGCAAACTAAAAAGCAGACCCTAGGAGGAGTGCCCAGTAGATAAGGTTGAAGAGCAGCACCAACACAGGCACCACCACCCACCTTACAGTCACCAACACTCTCTCTGCCTCTCGCACTTTCGGTTCCACCTTCTGCCTCCTGAGGGGATGAACCACAATAGGACGCTCTCGCTCTCTATTATCCATGTGTTCGGTAAGGACGTGTGTCAGCGTAATGAAGAACAGGAGGAAGATGCAGTAGAAGAACCACACGTCGATCATCTTGACGTAGGCAGTGATGGGGAGGGAGTTAGAAGTGTTGCTGAAGAGTGTGTACAGGACCAATAGTGTCGTCAGACTCACTGCCAAACGTACCTGATGGAGTGTTTATGGTGAATAAATATCTAAGACTTTACATACATTCATAATGGAGAATATCATCATCACTGGATAAATTGGAATATGGCTCTAATAAGACAAGGCAAAAGGATACCATCTTTCAGGGTTGGGTAGTGAGATGGTGCATGGATGTTTGGGCCACAGTTAGGTTAGGGTAGATTAGATTAGGTAGGTTAGGTTCAAACCACGCCGACCAAAACCAAACGTGAGACACCTACGTCGAGGAGCTCCAGCTTGATGAAGAGGGTAGAGCAGCCGATACACAATAACATGGAGGTAGGCAAGTAGACTGCCAGCACAATAACTGTCCAGCGTCTGGTCAACTCTAGTCTCACCTGTTAGTACACGGAGGTCAGTCGTCACACACTAAGCAAATAATAATAATAATAATAAACAAATAGTTCTACTATTATTATTAATAATAATAAACAAATACTACTACTACTACTTGGGTTATACATTGGCTGTAGAAAGTAAGTTTACACTAGAGCCTCAGTTTTCAAGTCAATAGATCGTCGGAAGGACTTACACAGTACCTGTAATTTAATAAAGCTAGCAGCGCGGGTGAAACACACCTACAGTATATGGTCTTACCTGCAGCATACTGTGTCGTGTCTCGTTGTTGCCTCTGTCAGTGACGGCGACGGTGCAGTGTGTCACCTCATAGCCAGGGAGTAGCTTCTCCTCCAAGTAATCGACTGTGGTCTTGTCGCTGGTGAAGCTGGTGTGTTCCTTACGTACAGAAGCCAACTGAAGCAGGATGAAGCACCGCTGGGTGTCGAACGGGTAGTAGAATACATCAAACGAACAAGCAAATGTCCCACTGAAAGGTAAGTAATTATGATTAATGCTTTCAGGATGGAGACTAATGCACTTTATTGCAAGGATAATTCTTAAATTCTAAACACATACACAAACAAAACGAGAGGCATTACATATGTCTCCTCTGGTTAGTAATATAAAAAATTCCCGACCTTCAGCTGAAACTTTCCCTTAACTCCTCCAACGATGATGGTAAGAGAACTTAAAGATGCTAGTTTTTGTTGTACCTTTGTTGCATTTAATATACTGTAGTACTGTATAAACAAAATTAAGACTTCAGGTAGATGTGTAAAGTTCTTAAAAATAATTAAGGGAAAACTTTGACCTTGGTGGTGTGGTAATCGTCCTTCAACACTAAACATATCAGTGGAGGCAGCTTATCACTGACCGGTTATAGTTGCTAATTAATATGAAGGTAATAACAATGAAATTTTTTCTTTCGTTTTTTAAGGATTATCATACGTATGTTACTATAATTTATGTGTTACTTAATATATTTCAGCTTCACTCACACCTGTGCTTATTAAAAAAGAATAACCAACCTAACTCTGTCTTCATTGTCTTCACCCTCCCAAATTTTATACCCATTCAGGACTAAATAACACTGACTATACTTTACCTATAATGGAGTTTTTGCACCAGTAGAGTTGACTCTCCTGTGTATGCCACATCTGGAGAAAATATAAATGCAGCCTTAGGTTTATTGTCTGATATAAATACTAAAATCATATGTGACATAAAGACAATATATTTAATTTAATTAACAATATTGTCAATTTTCATCTCTATAAAAAATGTCCCATAAGTTCTTTCCTCATTAACACGTTGGCAGGGTAATGAGTCACACGGATTCTCTGCATGATTGACTTTCTCAGTTCATGAAATATATGAGAAAATTAATTATAAAACTAAATTCATGTCTGTACATTTTGTTTCATTCTGTTCAGTTCATTCAAGAAGGAAAACTATTGAGAGTAAAAGATAATAATGGGACACCCTGTAGTATATAACATAACAATAACGCAGTACTTGACATAGTATATACCCATTTTAACATCATTGAAATCTGGTGTCTGAGGATCGGCTAACTTCCTGAGGCTTATCTCCTCTTCTATAGTGTTGATGTTACCATCATAAACATTAGGGAATGTAATCTTGGGTTTCCAGATGCTAGTTGTGTCTTCACTGGTCAACTTGTTCAGTTCCAGAGTGTCGCCGAGGTTGAGGTAGGTGAGTCTGAGGTCCTGCCACCACAGTTCCAATTCCATTTCTACGTTTATAGATCGTCGAACATCGCTGATATCCACCAGACGAAGGATTCTGACAATAGACGTGAGATAGATAGGTTCATCTTCCGAGCTGTTGACAGGAGGTTGGTTGGCCCGGTAGCCTTGAGGTAGAACTAACATTTCACAGTTGTCCTCGTCGGAAAAGTCGGTGCAGTCATTCTTGCCGTTGCAGCGCTGTTCCTTCAGGATGCAGTCACCATTTGAGCAGCTGAATTCAAAGTTGTTGCAAACAGAGAAACTCATATGAATTGTTGAATTAATGAGGTTATTACATATAGATTTTTTCAATGTCCAGACATGACGACCGATAGGGTAAGAGTCCCTAGAGGGAAGAGTTACTAGAGCGACCGTCTCACTCTGAGTTGTGTCGTACATCTGCCACTCTTCTCTCTCGTTTCTGTACACCATGTATCCGTAATATCCGTGCAGGAATGGTTTACCTCCTTTGTAGCCAAGAACTTCAAAGAATGTTTCAGCCTCATTCATATAACAGAGGCCTCTCAACCTCAAAGGTGCCGTCTGATCAATCTGACAGGGGACACAAGCCGGCCACTCGATGTCGCAGGAAGTATCCACCCAACGGCCGTTGGGGAGAAACATAAGTATACAGTTTTCCCCAGTGCCGCCATTTGGTTCATTGGTTTCGAAGACTGTTTCTGTAACTACGTCATTATCAACAAATTTACGCCATACGTCTTCCTCTTCCTCATCAGTAACTCCGACCCACAGGTGGTAATTAGACTTGCACTCTTCGGTAAATTGTACAGATGAGTTATGTAACATAGTGTTCTCAGCTGGCGTGGTGGGACTGTATACTTCATAACCTACTCTCTCACATGTAAGTTTGGACTGTGGCAAGTATCGCATCTCTGGGAATATTATATATTCTACCATTTTCTTACAAAATTCAGTAACATTTATAGTCTCCATAGAGACCCCAAACTTCTCCATTTCTTCCCTGTCGGAGGAGAAAATGTCACCAAGGGTTGCTCCCTGACATGTGGCCTGTTGATCAACTTCTTCGTCAGTAATACTTCTGTTGTAGATGTTGAGCTGTGCTATATAGCCCCGGAAGGTTTGGCTGGAGTCGTAGCCTCCGGCCAGCTGGTCCTGTTCCTGGCCCAGGGTGATGATGCCTTGCATGGACAGAGATGCCTTGGTGGTAAAGATGGGTCCCCGTGCCCTCTCCTCACCGCCCACGTAAGCTCGATACTCCCCTCGCTGGAACACATGACAGTAGTGACTCCACACGTGCAGACCAATACTGCTGGTCAGGTTAGGAAAGCCAAACTGTCTCACACCGTTGTAGTAGAAACCAAGATGCTCGCCTCGACGATCTGAAGCAACAGTAACGGTGTGTCATGGGTGAAACAACTATATTTGAGTGGAAATTTATATCATCTGGAATCATCCTTTTTATTGGCCATTTTGATATTTCATTGACAAACTTTTAATTTTAATTATGTACAGTACAGTACTAGCTGGGGAACCCAGCACTGCCCAGGTTTGTTTTTGAGGAGCAGTTCATAGCCTATGTTGTGACTACACTATACCAGCTACACTGCATCCACTACTTTTTGGTGGGTGTCGGCAGCCTCTTCACAATAAATACTCTCTCTCTCTCTCTCTCTCTCTCTCTCTCTCTCTCTCTCTCTCTCTCTCTCTTTTAGTTTCTGTATTCCAATAATCAAGATTCTTTATCTCTGCATATTCTTGAACATTTACAAAAAGGATAACAAAACTGTGTGCAGCCAGTCTACGGTAAAGTGAGTTAATCTTAGAGTACAGTAGTAGGTGAGGCAGGTGGACATACACAGGTGAAGGACATCATTCTCTTGGTCCGATACTGCCAGTGACAGGTGAGTCTCGTAGGAGGCGAGAGTAGTAGGCTGGACCCAGTAGCAAACACTCACTGTCTCTAGATTCGATATCTCCCCCTGCAAATACACACATGTGTACTGTATGTCTCTGAGCACCTCATTATTAACCTGTGATTGTTATGCAGTATACAGTAAAATCTCCATATAAACGGATTTTTCTCTCCATATAATTTGTTCGATGGAGGATTTCACATCTACGTAACGGACTTTCATCTCTATATTCGTTAGATAAAGGTTTCACTTCTAACAGACTTTCAATATAATAAAGTTTCATCGGTGTTACTATAGCGTGTGGTCTACAAAGACATCTTCAGTCTAACCTAACCTAACCTGATTTAACGTAACATAACCTAACCTGACCTAACCTAACATAACCTAACCTAACTTAACTAATCCAAATATCTTGTAGACCGCATGCTATAGTAGTACTGTTTCAACGCTGTACAGTCCGTTAGATCGAGCTTTCACATCTAATGGACCCTCGATATAACAAACTTTTATCTCTATATAGTCCGTTAAATAAGGGTTTCACTATAACAGACTACGGGCTTTAATCATATCCCTTATAACTCTACAAATATTTTCCCATTCTCAACCTTCATCAACTTTAAGGAGAAGGTTCGGGCTATTAATACAAGTGCTTGTTTTGACATCTCACCTGTGGGAACTTGAGAGAGAGGTTGTATTTGGCGACCACATCACTCCGCGGCGGAGACCACATATCCAGCTGCATCCCAAACACGTTTACACCATCCCTGCTTTTGTCTGTCCCTCCTACGGAACCTGTACATATAACTATCAAGGTATTGTTATCAATATTCTCAGTTTTAAGGGGGTTAATTGCTAGTTTGAGTGCTTGTATACTGTATAATGTATCACAACGCAAAGGTAATTATTAACGACTGACCCGCCGCCGATTTTTTATGGGAAATTAATTTAAAAACGCTGCAGTTACATTCCTCCATACAAATGTTTACAGATGACGCCAAGGAAATTGAGAACCAAGCGGACTGTGAAGAGCTGCAGAAGGATCTCTGTGAGCTTCAAGAATGCTCGAAGAAATGACTGCTGAGATTCAATGTCACGACGTGTAAGAGGATGTACCTGGGACGTACCAACGGTAAGGTGGCGTATCATATGTCCCAACGGAATGAAGAAACTGCATTAGTTGAGACTGAATGTGAAAAGGTCCTGGGTGTGTATGTTGACAATGAGCTGAAGTTCTCGGGCCATTGCGAGAAGAAGGTAAATCAGGCAAATAAATTATTAGGTCTTATAAGAAGGTCGTTCAGATATCTAGACGGTCCGTCCCTCGTAACGATCTTCAAGAGTGAAGTGCTTCCCTATCTGGAGTACTGTCACCCCTTCTGGTCCCCGAGATATGCTAAGGACTGTCAGTTGATTGAAAATGTCCAAAGGAGGGCAACCAGACTGGTGCCTGCACTTCGGCACCTCAGCTGCCCTGAGAGATTAGAGCGCCTGAAATTGCATAGCTTATACTACAGACGGGCAAGGGGGGACCTAATTGGAGCTGGCGGACGTTCGCCCCACAAGGGGTCACAGCTCAATGTTGAAGAAGGCTCAAGTCCAGAAAACTGTGAGGGGTAACTTTTTCTGAATGAGAGTTGTGAACTCTTGGAACAATCTGCCAGAGAGTGTTGTGATGCTGCCGAGTGTGAGCTCTTTCAAGACCAGACTTGACAAGCACTGGAGCGGGTTCAGGTACATTCAGGAGCCTATGCATGCCCAGTACTTGCCAACAGTGCGTAACAGAGAGGTGACCGATCGCCCAAGCGGCTAACGAGCTGATCAGTGGAGAAGAGAATAAAAGTAAAAATAAGTAAAAGCAATTTCACTGTGTTTAATAGTGGACACTGTTGTAATTTTGGCAAATGAGTTAAACAGTGGTTATTTCTAAATTAAACCTAACCTAACTTTAGTTGATAAGAAAATAAAGTGACAGATGCATTGTTAGAAGACCGCAACAACCTAACCAAAGAAACCTACCTAACCTTATCTAACTTCCTAGCCGTGAGGCTCCACCCCTGGACCACCCCCCGGCATATCTGTGGACGTGAGAGCAGCCGCCCGGTTCCTGTGGCTCATACTCTGACGTTAATCAAAACTCACTGGCTGTGTATTGCTGCATCGCCGCTGAAAAAGACAGAGGAGGGGAGAATCCAAGATGTTGTGGGTGGGGAAACATGGCAAGCACAGTGAGCCCATGCAGCCGGGGAGTTTGGGGGGAGGACGCTATAAGCCCTCCAGAAATATTTTTGAAATCTGACCAATTTCATGGGTGTTTTGAGGCCATTTTGAAGCCATGTGCGCTTGATATTAGGAGCTATTTTGAGGTCAATAGTTATTACTTTTTACAATACAAAAATGTCTGACTAGAATACTGCAGTAGTAAAATGTATTGTAATTTTCTGATGAAAGAGGGGAAGAGGGGGGAGGGGGTAAACCCCAAGGACACACCCCCCCCCTCAGATCCATGTCTGCAAAGCAGTGTGCACCAGACAAAGTAGTGCATGCCTAGTCGCCTAATTACAGTATCTACAAAATTAAGCGATTCCCCCATAATATATATATATATATATATATATATATATATATATATATATATATATATATATATATATATATATATATATATATATATATATATATATATATATATATATATATATATATATATATATATATATATATATATATATATATATATATATATATATATATATATATATATATATATATATCATATCAGAACTCACTGATTAAAATTTAGTAAGAATATTGTTGGGGTATGTGCCGGTTTGGCAACAGTGTATGGATCCGCCAACGGCACGAGTTAGACCAGGGGTTCTCAACCAGGGGGGAATTCCCCCCAGGGGGGGAATTCAGGTTTTCAGGGGGGGGGAAACTGATTCGGGAGCAAGAGATATGTTCGATGAGAAATCAATCACAGAATTTTGGCCCTTGATGTGCGATTCCTACCCAAAAGTGGCAGAAAGAGCTATCCGTGCATTGCTTCCGTTTGTGTCGACATATCTTTGTGAGTCAGGCTTTTCAACTCTGTTGCAAATTAAAACGAAGCAACGTAGTAGATTAGAGGTAGAAAATGACCTGCGTTGTGCCCTTTCAAGCACTCCTCCGCGTATCCCAGAATTGGCGAAGAAAAAACAATCACAGGTTTCTCATTGACTGTAATCTTCATCTGAATAAAATTAATTACAAATTTACAATATCCTGGTATTCTATTGAACTTTTTGTTTATTGCATTATGCTTCAGTTTGGTCTGTTAAGTAATTCATTATAAATAAAAAAAAACTATTTTACTTTTATTCAAGTTTTATAAATCCATCAACATTTTCAATTGGCATTTATTTTGTAAAACTCCACTATAAAATAATCCATGTAAAATTGTAAATGTATATGTACTAATATGGAAAAAATAAAGGATTTTCAGTATTATATGCATATTATTTGGAATGCACTTTTTGAGGCAGACAATCTTGGAAAGGAGGGGGGAATGACATTCTGACATATGGTGAAAGGGGTGCATGGGGCAAACAAGGTTGAGAACCACTGAGTTAGACAGTTAGTTCCAAACTTCCGGCTGTCAGACGCCAAGCTGTACGGACATGTCTGTCCCGCCCTTGTCACCTTCGCTAATAAACAGACTATGGACGTGGCCTTTAACTATCCCCCAGGTTGGCACCCTAACAAATATAAACATCAAGACAAATAACGCGGCTGCGGGTTAGTCGTCAATATTAGACCAAATAATATGTATCACAATATAACCTTTTAGACTATGCATGTATCAGACACACATGTGTCAATATTGGTCTCTATCAGAGAGTAAACATCTGCCATCAAGGACTAATTCTCAGTATGCATTGATTCTTTCCATTTCTTAATGGTCAGTCCATCGACCACTTTATAGAATTGCTCTTAAACAAACTTACACACACACATATTAAATACAACATTGACTACAGTAAGTTAAAATTGTTGAACACCAGGGTTGCTTGTTCAGAACAACCTAACTATTGTCTAAATTACACTATTCAGTGATCAGAGACCACAGCCAGACACACGATTACCCTACAAATAAGACAGATTTTCCCGTCATTATCAGTTACCACGCACGACATGGCACACTGACTCAGGTCACGCCAGAGCCGCTCCTCAGACATGGCACACTGACTCAGGTCACACCAGAGCCGCTCCTCAGACATGGCACACTGACTCAGGTCACGCCAGAGCCGCTCCTCAGACATGGCACACTTGACTCAGGTCACACCAGAGCCGCTCCTCACATACCTACAGCCAATCCTGAGCACCCACGACTCTTCCACTTCATTATTTTGTTTCAAACTGGTATGTAACATATTTGTTTATCTTTGTGTGTTAACCTTTCGGTTCTATGCAAGATCTATCCAATAAGGAAATATAACTCCTGATGACTAGTGTGATGTCAATTAAGCCTATTTTAGTTACTGTCGTCTGCTTTGTTTACATATTTAGATTCTTCAGAATAATAATTTCAATTTTTTCTCTCGAAAATTAACATAATTAATAAAATATAAACATAAATGAATTGCTAAACACTAAAACAGTTTTTTAAGCATATTGTAGGACCAAATCGTTTAGTTGAAAATTTAGTTTGTTTTCAAGGGAAATAAAGCACCAATCAATATCTAATTTAGTAATGGTTTGCTCCACGTGTGGTATAAGTCTTGCTCTGTCTTCAAAAAAGAACAAAACGCTACACATATTTAAAATTGTAGGCGTTGTGCCAAGGTAGCCGGGTGACTGGTAGTGCACCGAAGAGGACCGAGTCAGACTTTACCTTTCTCCAAACAACTCGACCACTAACCTCCCTTTATTTCTTCATAACTTTATTGTGATGGTGTGACCGCCGAGACCTAAGGAGGTGCGACCCCTGGCGGATTTGGGGGGTTCAGGCTGCTTTCGTGGCAGTGTCGGTCTTACAAAGGACCCAATCCCTCGTCCCCTCTGTCAGCGGACGAGCTGTGTTAAGCCACGGCTCCTTTTTCTACTATTACAACTCCCTTCCATCCATCCTTTATCCTTCCACTGAACCTTCTTCACCCCTGTCACTTGCTTTATAGTTAGTTAGTTTTGTGTCATTCTCTCTGAGGAAAACACCAGACAATTCTCTTATATGTTATGAATCCAGTAAATATAGGTTAAGTTAGGTCCTAACCAACCTGGCCCAAACCAAACTCCCGTGGCCCAATCGTCCTTCCTACATTCATTATTCACTGGTTTGGTATCGTGACGTATTCCTGCTGTAGATTCTCGGCCACTCTCTCCCTTCACCTGACCACAAACACTCCCTGTAGTACCAAACTTCTCCACAATACATTTAATCATTTTGCTGTAAGTAATTCTTGTATTTACAAATTTCTTATTAACCCTTTGAGTACGATGACTTAATCCCTTGAGTACGATGATAATTAAAAGCTCCAAGTACTAGGATACTGAATACAAGAGGATTAAGTCATTGTACTCAAGGAGTTACATCAGCGTAATTTATCGTACCTACTCAAACATACTGTACATTTAAAACAAAAACAAAAGCCAAACATACTTGCAATAACAGCCAAGGTGACAGACAGCAGCACAGGCATCAGCTGCTCCACAACAGCGCGGGAAGCCATCTTGGTCTGATTCCTGTTCAATTCTCGCGCTCTCCTGAGTTAGAGCCAGGTCAGCAGGTCATTATAGAGCCAGGTCAGCAGGTTATTATAGAGCCAGGTCAGCAGGTCATTACAGAGCCAGGCCAGAAGGTTATTATAGAGCCAGTTAGCAGGTCATTACAGAGCCAGGCCAGCAGGTTATTATAGAGCCAGGTCAGCAGGTCATTACAGAGCCAGGCCAGCAGGTTATTATAGAACCAGGTTAGTAGGTCATTATAGAGCCAGGTCAGCAGTTTATTATTAGAGCCAGGTCAGCAGGTCATTATTAGAGCCAGGCCAGTAGGTTATTATTAAAGCCAGGTCAGCAGGTCATCATTTGAGCCAGGTTAGAAGGTCATTATAGAGCCAGGTCAGCAGGTCATTATAGAGCCAGGTCATGCAGGTCATAGAGCCAGGTCATGCGGATCACAGAGCCAGGTCAGAAGGTCATTATTAGACCCAGGTTGATAAGTCGTAGTACAGATAGATTAGGTTATGATAGAGCAGATTATAATAGCTTAATATGGCTAGATAAAAAGATAATAATACGGATCAAAAAGGTCACAGTTAGTCATATTAGTTCAATCATATTTCAGTCATAAGTTCATTACATAATCCTATTGCAAGTCGTAGCCAGAGTAGAAGATAGCAATATAGTTAAATTAGCTTATATTATAATCTAACAAAGAGGCCATAATGTAATCCTTTTGGAAGGGAATAATACAGTGAAACCCTCCATATAACGAACTTTAATCTCTTATATAGTTCGTTAGATGGAGGGTTCACTTCTAATGGACCTTCGATATAACGGACTTTCCTTTCCATATAGTCCGTTAAATAGAGGTTTTACTATATCGCCAAATTATATCATAATATAGTCAGGGTGAACCAGATTAGAATGCCAGATATATAATATGTATGTATGTGTGTATGTATGTACAGTATGTATGTATGTATGTATGTATGTATGTATGTATGTATGTATGTATGTATGTATGTATGTATGTATGTATGTATGTGTTACCATGGAAGACTATACACAACTCCTTCCCGCAATTATTGTCATGGTAAGCAAACATTGGTTGAAAGTAGCATGTGTGGGAAAAAATACAGTATTGCGGTGGTAAAGGATTGACCGTTGATGAATATTCAATCTTTCTGGGAATAAGTGTGTGTATAAATTGTGATCCGAACATACAGTACCTCTGAGTATATATACTTCGAGTAAGCATAGCACGAATAACATGTGGTAGACCTTTGGGGAATATGTTTTAACCCTTTGAGGACGATGGTTTAACCCTTTGAGGACGATGGTTTAACCTTTTGAGGACGATAGTTTTACCCTTTGAGGACGATGGTTCAACCCTTTGAGAACAATGATTTAACCCTGTGAAAGCTAGTTTTATTTACTCGTCCTACTAAGGGTTAAAGAACCAATGTGTAAGTGTTTATTGAGGGATGGAGGAAGAGAAGGTGGAGGTGACTCACTGCTGTCTAAAAACACTAACACTATGGTCCGTCACCCATCACTAAGCACACTAACACTATGGTCCGTCACCCATCACTAAACACACTAACACTATGGTCTGTCACCCATCACTAAACACACTAACACTATGGTCTGTCACCCATCACTAAACACACTAACACTATGGTCTGTCACCCATCACTAAACACACTAACAGTATGGTATGTCACCCATCACTAAACACACTAACACTATGGTCTGTCACCCATCACTAAACACACTAACACTATGGTATGTCACCCATCACTAAACACACTAACACTATGGTCCGTCACCCATCACTAAACACACTAACAGTATGGTATGTCACCCATCACTAAACACACTAACAGTATGGTCCGTCATCCATCACTAAACACACTAACACTATGGTATGTCACCCATCACTAAACACACTAACACATGGTATGTCACCCATCACTAAACACACTAACATATGGTATGTCACCCATCACTAAACACACTAACACTATGGTCCGTCACCCATCACTAAACACACTAACACTATGGTCCGTCACCCATCACTAAACACACTAACACTATGGTCTGTCACCCATCACTAAACACACTAACAGTATGGTCTGTCACCCATCACTAAACACACTAACACTATGGTCTGTCACTCATCACTAAACACACTAACACTATGGTCTGTCACCCATCACTAAACACACTAACAGTATGGTATGTCACCCATCACTAAACACACTAACAGTATGGTATGTCACCCATCACTAAGCACACTAACACTATGGTCTGTCACCCATCGCCAAACACTCTTGATATGACTTAGTGACTGGCTCTTGCTATAGCTCACCTAGATCACTAGTACCGCCAGAATGTACCTTTTTTTTCTTTTAATTCACATAATCAAGACATGCCAGGATTTCAATGGCTTAACTGGTTTTAAGATTTCATGAATATTAATACTTTTCCTGATATTCTGTAACGACCGAATAAGACGTCCCTGTGCTATGTTTTTATTTCTCATTTATTATAATGTAAACAAATGTAAGTTAGTAATATTAACAGTTTAGTGATTCAAACGCATATTGAATACTGGGTCTTTTACATAGATCTACATATGAACAATGTAGTTTCTTTCTTGTGGCTTTGTGTGCAATGGTTTAGTTATCAATGTTACTATTCTATACAGTTTATATTTATTTTTTCGTAATTCCTTTGGGATAATAAATAATATATATTATCTATTTTTTATTATATTTATCTGTATTTCAGTAACGCAGGAGAAACAATGTATCTACATTAGTTATTCATTACCCCTGGGTTCTTGGTAATGTCTCTATAACGTTGTTTATTTTTAACATCTGATAATGACTCTCCTCGTTATGCAATATGGCGGCACACATTTCCAGTTACTAAAGCGAATTTCTGAACGTGATCCATAAAATTCACTTAAAATATGAGATATCACAACTCTACTTATTTTTTTTTTTAAATAAATTTTCAAGCTGTACAGTATAAAGTGCACTATTTTAAGTTTTATAGCGAATGTTACTTTACGTAAGTAGTGTGTAGAGTCAAGGAACAAAGTCCTTTCGTCTCTCCCATTGAACTACAAACCCGGGAGAGCTGGTGATCCCGAAGCAGCAGACTAATACATTATTCTGTCCATAAATACTTTGGATTCACGATCTGAATATTGCGGTTCGTGGTTTCAGGAGGAGACGAACGGACTTTAGTAGTTGAGAGTACAGTGTATCGTGTTGCCTCATTCAGAATATATACAGTATGTTATTCAGGCCTTCGCACTCTTCTACGAGGTCAGGTCACTTAATGGGTAACTCCTGCTAAGATGAAGTGTTACGACTGTTAGAAATTTTCATTGATAATAGTGGTAATAGCAGTCATAGTACGTTACTATCATTAATAATTAGTAGTAATGGTAATAATAGTACTAATACAGTGAAACCTCTACTTAACGGACTATATGGAGAGGAAAGTCCGTTATATGGAGGGTCCGTTAGATGTGAAACTTCCATCTAACGAACTGTATAGAGACGAAAGTCCGTTGCATGGTCACCCA